CATATGCATTTTCAAAATCTCAATATAAAATTGTGTAGCTGTCCACCATTCATTCCTATTCTTAACTATCATAGGCAGACATATAAACCAGTTCGGCCAGAGGTCTGCATCAAGACGAGCCATACTAATAAGACAGACAGGAGATAGGTTCCGGGAGATATTTCCCCGACGGCTGCAAGGCATGGATATTATTTCCCCTGTAATTATCGTAAAGCTTTCATTATCATTAACGATGTTTTTATCACTGTTGGGTCACTTCGGTGATACGATTGCAATGCAATGTATTATCTTCTTGTATTTGTTCATGGATGATTATTATTTATCTAGAGGAGAGGGGCCTATTTATATTGAAAGGGGTACAGGCTAGAATGCACTAGTTGTACGGCTCCCTTTCGAGGTTGATCACATGATGTACCAACAGATTCTTTGAAGAAAATCTTTATATTTATAATATTTAATGAAATTCTAATATATTCTATGATTAATAATAAAAACAGTTTGAATCAAATCTTGTAAAATCATTTTATATAATAAAGAAATAACAATCAATATTATTCAATTTAATAAATAAGAAATTTTATATACTTTTATTTCATTTTATTCTCTTATAAATCAATCTGATATGAATTATAATCGAGTTTTTATATTAAAATGAAATTTATTAATATATATGAATATTATTAATATATCGCATGATCATCCGATCATTAGTTCGGTTAATATTATCAAGTGATTTAATAATTTATTAAAGAATTGTTACGAGGGTAGCCGTCTAGATCACATGGAAGTGCTCTAGGCTCGAGGTGGTTTATAACTAGGCGTCAAGCAGGGACTTAAGTAATGACAATAATAGTATACTATTCGTAACTAATAGTAGAGTATACTAAATGATTGATCTTGAGCACGAAGCTCTATACAAAGGAAATCCATCTTGATTATATAGACCTTCATGCTTCTATGATCACCAGTGATCACCTATACCGTGATCCTTAGTGATCCTTAATGATCACGTGTCTTGGTCATGTGATGGTAGTTGTGTAGCCCGTCGTAACAAGAATCTTACAATTTTATAATAAATAAATAAAACTTAATAAAGTTTAAACTAAAGATTTATTATACAATTATTAACAAATTTTAAAAGATTTAAATACTTTTATAATTTTATTAATTAAGATATTAAAATTGAAATTTTGATTTTTATTTATATATAAATTTCAAAATCTTTAAATCAAATACTATATAATAAATCAAGATTTCAAATTTTGAATTATATAAAAAACTTTAATTTATATTTTTAAATTTTAAGGGGCCTGCCTCCGACCCCTGACTTTTAAGAAAGTCTAGTAAAAATTTAAGTTTTAAAAATTTATAATAAATTTAAATATTGATATATATATTAGAAAAGAATATCGATTTGTTTTGATAATTGAAAATTAAATATTTTTATTTTTATTTTATTTTTATTTTTATTTTTATTTTTATTTTATTTTTATTTTATTTTATTTTATTTTATTTTATTTTATTTTATTTTATTTTATTTTATTTTATTTTATTTTATTTTATTTTATTTTATTTTATTTTATTTTATTTTATTTTATTTTATTTTATTTTATTTTATTTTCCACTCTACAACTCATCCCCATCCCCACCCCCATCCCCATCCCCATCCCCATCCTCCTCTCAAACCTTCAACCCTCACACCCTCATCATCGTATCCCACCCTCACCTCAGTTATCTAATATTTCCAATTTCCTAATCTCTATACTTTTACTTTCGCTCCATCCATCCATCCATCTCCCTCCCTATAGAACCTCATCCCCCTCGCCTTCCTCTTATCGACTTTCAATATTCATTCACACAACAAAGGAAGAATACGTGTAATACAATAAAATAAGATATAGCCAACTCCTAGCACTAGTCATTATTCACACTTATACTATTGATTATTCTAGCTAGTGAAGTTAGTGAAGCTACCTAGTAGATAAAAAAAGGGTGTACGTAATACGTAATGTAATGTAATGTAATGTAACGTTCGAGTGGAAGAATAACTCAAATCGTCTGGTCAAAACTCGAAACTCGAACTCGAGACTCGAATTCAAAAACCACCGCATAGCGCCTCCATGTATGTCTGTATGGTCCCTATGTATATGCCACTCCATAATCATCCATCCATCCATCCATCCATCCATCTAACGCCATGCGCCTATTTGCCCATCCATCCATACACCCATCCAGCTAAAAGCAAAACCGACTTCTTCAATATCAATATCCTCCCATCAACAAAATCCATGTATAATCTCCCCAAAAACCCACCCATCAACTCTCAACCTCAGCCTTCTTCTTCCTCCCACCCTTTCCCTTACCCCTACCCTTCTTCTTCGGTTCCACCCCATATTCTCATCCACCCTCTCCTCCCCTCCTTCCTTCTCGGCGCCGCAGCAGCAGCAGACGCCTTCTCCCACTCCCCTCCGCACCCTCCTTCTCCTCCTTCGCAACGGGATCACCTCCTGTACCCTCCCTACAATCTCACTCAAAATCAAACTGTTCATCCCCTCCACAACCCTCTTCAAACACCCCGCCGTAACCCTCTTTCCACCTTTCTCCCTCGCCACCCTCGCAGCTCCTTGCACCAAACTAATCATAAAAAGCTCCAATGCCTTGCTCACTGCAACCGGTGTTACTTGAGCTACCTTTCCTACTTCTTCATCGGCTTGCATGATGCGTTTTATGCGGGCGACGGGAATTTTGTGCGAATCTCTATATTGTCGGGATTTGGATTTTTGGTCGTCGTCGTAGGCGGAGGAGGAGCACTTGCGAGAGGTAGTTGAGGACCTAGCGGGTAAGTTGACATGTTGGTATTGTATTGAGAGGATGGGTCGAATGTATTTGGGATATTGGGTTGAGATTTAACGCGTGGTTGCCGTGGTTCTCGCGTTGACATATCCAGTGGGTTTGGGGTATAATTTTGGCGAGAGAGAGATGAGTTATTATTGTTGGACTGGTATACAGATGTAGGATTGTTGGATGTAAGGTCAAAAGGTGATGGGATACGATTGTTGTAAGGGATTTCGGAAAATATGGTAGTTGAAGTGTTTTGAGATTGAGATTGAGATTGATGAGATTGATGAGATTGATGAGATTGATGAGATTGATGAGATTGATGAAATTGTGAGTTAGCGACGATAGCTGGAGATGAATTGTTATTATAGTCAAATTCTGATTTGATGGTCTGAGAGTGAGAGTGAGAGTGAGAGGGGTAGTAAAATTGTGGGGCCGTTATAAATGAATTTGATGGATTTGATGAATTTGATGAATTTGTTCCTTGGATTCCGAAGGAATGTAATAAATGCGTAGAAGGTAAAGCTGGAATTGGTGGCATATGTTGACTTGAATCGTATTGATCAAATTCATTTATTGCATCTCCACCGGGAGTAAATATTTGTTGATTTCTTTGATTTCGTTGGTAATTTATATATTGATTTTGTGGTTGAATTGATGGCGAGGCTCTTGAGGATGCAAGAGTACTAAAATCAGGAATTACCGGTGATCTGGGTGCATATGATGAGGTTTGCTGATTTTTATATGTACCAGGTGCTAAGAAACCCGATAGATCGGGGGGATTGAGGTGTATAAGTTGAATCCATTTTCCCTTTCCTTTCCTGTCCTTTCCTTTCCTTCCCTTTCCTTTCCTTTCCTCCCTTTCCTTTTATGAATTTGAATTTGAATTTGAATTTGAATTTGAATTTCTGATCAATTTTTTGACGTTAATATATTTTCGGTATAAAGTAGCTTGAATTTGTGGAATTTGAGGTTAGATTATCCCGACTATACAAGGCTAATGGATTTTATGGGTAAGACTTGACGAATTGAAAGAACCAAATGAAATCAAGCAATCCACTTCTTAAGAAAGAAAATATCTTGGTGTCTTCTGCTCTTCTTTTGTATAAAGATTTGATTTTCTGCCGAATTCGATGATACCGTAGAGATTCAGATGGGTACCGACCGTATTGAAATATTGAAAGAGACACGACTCGTTATTGGACTCAATCCGAGTACAGTACGATAGAATACCCAGTAGCTTTTATGGAATCTTTCCCGAGGATTTTCTTTATGAAATTGCCATGTACCAACCTTTATATATCCTCAAGACCTTTCCCTTTCTTTCTCTTGAGAGCAAGAAGGCCAAAAAGGATGATGAATTGTTTATTTCCTTGGTTCTTGGTTCTTGGTTCTTAGTTCTTAGTTCTTAGTTCTTATCGGAGCTCCCCTTCATCCATCTGTCGATAAGATTCGTTTATCATAGGGCGGTGAGAGTGAAAATGAGCACGAATCAAAATAGCTCCGATGAAAAATTAAGAGATCTTGTTGAACGAATTAATTTGATTGGCCAATATGAAAAATGAATGAATAATTCCTATAGAGTACTTGAGTAATGAAGTTTATAAATCTCAAAGACTTTATGAATTGATGTTTTTAATTGAATTGTACTTGGCAGCGAGGTAACATTTTGAGATATATATAAAATATATATGAAAATAAAAGTTTTGAGCGGGCTTGGAGCTACATTTATAAGTTTATGTATAGAAAATAATATAATAGGAACAAGGAAGAAATGTCTGGGATTTCATTTGACTAATCATGAATAGGAGTTGGTGTCATAGATGGATAGATGGATAGATGGATAGATGGATAGATGGATAGATGGATAGATGGATAAATGGATGATTCAGGGCCCCTTGCACCCGCTTGATTTATCGAGAAGAATATTTCATCATGATTTCTACATCAAACAATATCTGAACGCTTTCGAAGTTCAGAAGTTTATTCTTCTGGTGTCGATGGAATGCTTGCAAATGGTTTCATTCACGATGATTATCTATGTCCCGTTTACTCTCTCTGATGGACTTACCTTGCATGATTCAAGAAAAGAAAGCCATCCACTGTTACACAACAGGCCACCAAATCTTGGTGAGCTCCAGGATCAAATACTTACACAGAAACGCGTCGAGAACTGTCGCTCAAAAATAATATTATGGACACAAGCATCATCATGGAAAGCCATCATGTTTTGCAAAGACCTCGAAAGACTCCAGAGACTCCCAAAACCCCAGAGTCTCTTCCTGTCTAAGATATCAAACAATGTGTCGTTTCGAAATCTACGACTTCAAAAATGACTCAGAACTAGTAGCACGCCACTTTTTACCCATCCATACCTAGGTACGTACCTTTAGGCGACAGACAACATCACAAACTTCAATCATGGCCTTCTTCAACATCAAGATATTGAATGATGATAACAAAGAGCTTACCGGAGATCACACCGAGATCATAACCCGGCTATGCAAATAACTTGTGGTTTTGACTCGGATTGGTAGTGATCAGATGAAGGAATAAACTTGATCTAATCTGACAATATCTTTAAGTTGGCATTTGATCATCTAGTATTGAACTATCTAGGTAGATAGATGGTGATCACGTAAAGGCGATGTTTGGTAGTTTGCCTCTATACTTGGTAGTCCAAGTAGTTCCCATCTATCTCAGATGGTGTGGTAATTTTTGCCAAAATTTATCAAGTAGCCATTCTCTCATCAGTGTCTCTTTCATTCCTTCCCTCATTCATTTCGTTCCTATTCATATCTTTCTTTTATGCAAATATCCAAAGCCATTACTTGAAACTCAGCCTCATTATTTTGCTTCATCTCATCCGATATTAATCCGTACTTTGATAATTTGTTGCAGATCGTATTTTTCGCCGAGCCTCTCAATATCACGCGATTGAAGTTTTAAGGAGTCGAGACCGTTGAAGCTTTTTATTTATAGATTTTTGGGTGATTCGAGGCTGAGAAAAGCCGCTTGAAGTTTACTAAATATTATGTACTGTTAATTTTGGGCGGACCAGTCAGAGAGAATGTCTTATTTGCAATCATTGAAAGGACAGATCTTGTATTTTGTGAATAGAGTGGTAGATTAAGATTTCTATTGTCCGGCGAATCTAGTCATACGATCTAGTTCAGTTCATGTTCATTGTGTCATGTATCTGAATGGACAACTTCATACCTCCTGATTGCATCCTATTCTTGCATATCTAAATAAATATATATCAAGAGTCGACTCTCCCTTCTTTACATTTGCGACACACGGAAAGCTTTCCTCATTCTTCATTCTACCACGTGATACTCGCATCAAATATGTAAGTGACGCTATTTAAGCCATCATGATATCAGATACAGGAGGTTAGCTCTTTTACATCTCCGTAGAAAATACTGGATAGTCTCTAGTCCTTTTTATCCCTAACCCTAAGATAACTCCCGGGAGCATTAATTCCCTGTGATTTAGCTCCCATTTCCTTCCTTCATCTGTACATCAGATTAACTTGATCATTATCCATATAATTGTATGGAATTGAATCTGATCGGACCTGATCGTATATGAATAAGATGCCCCTTCTATGATTCAGTATATACTTATCTTTATACATGCACGTGACCTAGCACCAAAGAAATGTACATACACATTTCATCTTGGAGTCATAATAATTCCAAGTCTTCAACTTACAATCCTTAATCAAAAACCTGTAATATATTAATACCTAAGCATAGAAACAAAAACCCCGTCTTTATAAAACGTAGGAGCGGAATCCCAATCTCAATCGCGGAGTGGAATAATCATACTTAAATAATCAATAACTAACCTAGTCAAAAAATCCTCGCTTACACCCACCCATCCATCAGATCTTACCTATGTACTGTACCTACTCTGCAACCTCGTATACCTCGCACCTGCAACACCCGTAACATTACATACATACAGGGCACATACATACATACATACCTACATCGCATAAACACCGCCCGCCCACACACCTTACATCACATCTGCCACGTATACTACACTACACTACACTACACACACACCACTAATCCCATTTTTTCTTTTTTTTAAGGAAAAACGCATTAGGAATAATGATGCATTTTGTTTGCTTATTATAGGTGTGAAATGGGGTTATGGGGTGCTTTTACCTCACACCGCTGTTTGGCTTCACACCCTCAGTTTTTAGATGTGCAACATTTTGGGGTTTTGGTTGTGTTTTGGGATGTTTGAGGGGTTTTGGGGGCTTTGTGGAGTTGGTGGAGTTTGGAATTGGTGGGTTGGTGGATGTGGATGGATGGATGGATGGATGAGGTGTAGGGGGGAAGGATGGGGATTGGGATTGGGATGTGGTGGTAGGAAAGGGCGGAGGAGAGGGGGAGAGGAGTGGGTGGGAAGTAGGAAGATGGTGAGGTGAAGTGAGGTGAGTAGCAATGGGCGGGGCTGGGGGCGAAGAGTGAGGAATGACTCTGAGTATATATGATGAATCTAATGAATATAATGTAGAATAATACAATATAAGAAGTATTACGAGCAGTCCTTAGAGATCCCATATATCCGAAAGATAACCTAGGAGTTATAAGATTACATTAACTCTCTTATGCCGACATAATGAAAGGAATACCACCACTTCACATATCATATATCATATAACCTTACTAGAAAAACATCTGTCTATAAATCTTATACCATCACACACTCCCTAATCTTAAATCTTACATCACCAACAACAAAGTATCTCATAGTTCAACTTTACTCAGCAAATCCCACGTGCTGTAACACACTCCCACAAAGCCTTACTCTATATCGAAAATCTTGCATGTTTTTTTGTTGCCTATCTAACATGTAGGAGTATATCATAAAATGCATTGTTGCGGCGCCGTGGCGCATTGTAAAATGAGGTTGTACATGTAAATTACTTTTTTTCAGCTACCATTAACAATCTTTTCATGTGTTGTTAACTATTGAAGGCGGGAATTGTTGTATACCTATCTAGCAAGAGCAGAAATTTGCATTTTGCTTTTCCGTTTCGATTTGGTGGTTGATTATGGCTTTTTTGTGTGTGTATGTGGTGATGATGGTGAGGGGTTTGGTGTGTATCTGGAGGTATGTATCTTTCCCTTTGACGGCTGTGGAATAAGTACGAATCTTTGAGTTTAAACTGTCTGATGAAGTCTTTGTATATTCTTGTATCTAATAATCAATCCTTGGGACTGTAGAGAGGGATATGTTGCACCTCTGCTTCCATGGGAGTTCCATATCCGGCGAGTGAGAAATTGCATTCCTTTCCTGTGGCTGCAGATTGCTTCCGCTGCTGGACCCAATAACCATTCCTCTATGTGATATATATCACCCCCTACAGATATGTTGCATATCTATCAATGAGGAAAATTTACACAATCTGTTTTTTGTACTACACACCATTGAAATCTACCAATATCATCCGCGGGTATTGTCCTTTCCAATAGGAATATGATATAATTGTCTCTGGTTCCTGATCGTTTGCACACTTGGGAAAAGCCAAGAACCTGAGGGATCTTTGGGTACCAGTGAGTCTAATGCCATGCAACAATCCACGGGATCAAAAAAAAGGTGTATAGGATATGTTACACCCGACTCGCAACATAGATCTGTCCCCCCAATAATCCTCCCTCCATGTGATCCAAAACCAACATTTTAGATATTTTGTTGCACATCTCAAATTGAGCTCCATTTGAGCAGTCAGATTATCCACATCTCCATTTCCCTGTTTATAATTACTCTACGGATATCCTCAACCAATGATCTCCGTTTCATGCTGTGGTAAAGGCCTTCCGCGTATTGTTGCATATCGGTAGGACTCACAAATGTGTTTTCATACTACGCACCTTTTGGATTATCCAATCGTACCCGCATATAGATAGATGATTGGTTTAGCCTTCATATCGTCGCCCAATGATTCTTGATACACGTGACATCAAGCACGCATTGCATGATTTGTTGCATATCTGAAATACGATGCTCTTCTTTAAGCTCGTTTTTATTTTTGCAAAGGTCTAGGGACCACTTTTCTTTTGATCATCTTCTTTCAAATCGCACCCACCTTCCTTTCGTTATAAGAGGAGACAAGTGAATTTAGTACTTATCAATTGACGATATATCTACAGTTCAAATATCTCAGATATCGATTTCAGCTGGAACTAGTCATCTATCTCATGAAGCATTACGATTGCCGAGACTATAAAGATCTCATACCGCTGGACTCATACTCCCCAAAGCTCAACCGTCAATCCTTCTGCCTATCGTCAACCTCAAGTTCTTCATCCTCTTCCTCTTCAGACTTCCATTCTTTCCAGTCCAGAATCTTTTCACCGACCATCACCCTCGATATTCCCCAAATCTACTTTCACACACCCCTCCAAAACCTGCCTCTCACCTATTTCTCAAAATACTCTTCGCAACACCCAAATCATCTGGAGCAAATCTTTCGTGCTAAAACTCGAGTCCATCGAAGTGACTTGTGATCAGTTGAATTGACTTGGCGATCAGTGGCTAAATGAGCAGCGCGGTGTGAAGCAATCGTCATGAAAAATTTCCACTTAATCTATTGATGATGAGACGAAAGAAAAGTTTGATAGCTTTCCCTTCCCTACCTAAGGATTAGATGAAAGAGTGGGAGGAGGTGAGTTTAGGCTTATCGCCTTGTCTTTCATTGCAGACTCAATATTTGGATGTAAAAGGAACCATATAATAGAAAAAGCAAGCAAACTCAATGGTTCGAATCATAAGGAGTGTGTAACAACAGATGAATGCAGATATCACCAAATAGAGGTGCTCTTCCTGGTGTGATCTCCAACTTGTCATGGGAAATATTAATGCTATTCAACGAGATCATGATCTACATTGTGACCTGGGTTTTCAGATGGGCAAACGCGGCTACTTAGATATAGTATCATACACCAACCGATAGTGATTTACCAGAAGGATCAATGAAAAGAAATGAATGATGACGCCAAATAAACGATACACCCAACCTATGCCTCTATCATACTTCTCCTCTACACACCACTCTCAAACTCTCACTCAATTTCCAACCCTACATATACTCCTCAAAGAGCACCAAACTTCTACTACTCATCCCATAACTATCTCAATATACAGAAGCGCAATCAATACACTCATCTTTTCACTCCAGCCAATGAAGCCATCAATCACCAAACAAATAAACAAATCATAAAAAATCCACAACTCTACAAATAACACCAAAGCAGTAATTAGTGTAGAATCTGTTATATTAAGTTCTAAGTTTGATTGTATTCATGATACCTAATATGTGAATACTATATGATGAGAGAGAGAGATATTTGTTATATGTCTGAAAGAGAGAGAAAGATTTGATAGTGACGGGGTGAGATGGATTATATGATCTTAATATAATTATATCAGATAGATATTTGTAAGATGTATAAAAAGTGATAATAATTATTTTTGTAATAGAGATTTTATTTAATTGAATTATTATATCAATTAGTAATTTATATTATAAATCTAGATAATAAAATATTATAAACTTCAAAATTTATTAAAATTAAAATTTTTATTTTAAATTTTTATTTATATTGATAAAATAAATATATACTTATATTATTATAAATTCCTCGACTTTAAATATCATTAAGTTTCTGGATAAATATCGGGATTTTACTGATTATATAATATTAATATTTTATCTAATGTTTCCTTAGCACATAAGACAGGCCTCGGCTTACATAGTCACTTTTTCGAGGATTAAACTTCAAAAAAGCCTCAAACACATCACCGCTCTCTCCTCATTCACAACCCAAAAATTCCCAACCCTCACCCACCACGCAAAAATGACGAACGCTCAAATCCCCAACCTCAATTTTGGCAGTCCGATAATCTTCTTCGATTCGAATCCAGAAATGCAACAAACCTACCTAGGATCCTGTCTCACCAGTCTCAAAGAAACCCTAAAAACCTCCTGGACGGGCGAAGTTCGCAAATTTCACAACCCGGGAACCCTTCGCATTATATTCTGGACTCCAGATAACAAAGAATGTATAAAAGACTACGAATTGCATGAATATAAACTTGTGCGGGAAGCGTGGGAATCGTTATTTAATCTCCTGATGTGAAACGCGCGATTGTTATGGGGTACAGTGGACAGAATCCTTATGTTAAGGATTTTGGGGACAAGAATCCTTGGGAGGATAAGATTGAGAGGAGAAGATGAGGCAGAGGAAGAGTGCGCAGAGGCAGGGTGAGAGTAAGGAGGGGAGGGCGGGGAAGGAAATTGATATTAAAGAGGTTATTGATCGGACGGAGGAAGAGGAGGTTAAGAAGATTGCTGAAGCAAGTGGAAAGAGACCGATGAAGTTTGAGGAGGTTTGAGGGGTTCGATGATGTAGGAATTGTGTATGGCCATGTTGGACGAATGTTAATACGAATCTTTCGATTTATAATAGAGGTTACGAAAGGAGTTTCGGAAGCTGCGGAGATATTGATGGATCATTGGAAATATGGCGTACCTGGGAATCGACACAAGCATAGTAGAGGTTGAACCATGGCGATATATTTGGATAATTTTGTTTGAATATAAGGGATAGTCCCACGGAATAGAAACCTTGAGAGTTTTGGATATCGTATTATTTCTGCCAAGCATCTGAATGAAGCCTCACTACTCCAAATGCTCAATCTTGTATATGATGTAACTTTATGGTCGAATGAGTAAAGGAATCTTACGTGCAAGAGGCAAGTGCCTAATGTCCATAATAGTGTATTCCGAACATCGATCCAGGCTTCAAGCTTACAATAACACAGTTGTCGGGGAAATGGTTAGCAAGTAGTGTGCCCACAGGGTTCTGAGAGATCATAATCCTGGATGATAATCATGGAGTTTATTGGATGGGAACCTCTACAAGCTTTTCCAACAGACGAGAGTACCAGGAGATTCGGCCTTGAATTCGACTGCAATATTTCCACAGTGTACATGCATAGGTTTTTACCACTTTATCTTTCATCCCACTATCGATTCCTTCATGAGGAATCCAGAGTTATTGGTTTATCGAGCATCTTTTTAGAATTACTCCTTTCATTAAAAATAGACGCATCTTTCTGTAGTCCCTTACTCTAATCTGTATTTCGGCTGTGACGGAGCATTCATATATCCGTATACCTAAACCTTACCATCGAACCACATTCATCTAGTCGTACAAATCGGGATGATTTCATGATTTTGGTGTGTATGATATATAGTAAATCATATCAACGATCCTACAATTTTAAACGGATAGTAATGCGGTATCATATACCAAGAAGACACAGTCTGAGGTTTCATCATTTCTCGGATGGAAATGCTGATTAATTCTCTATCTACATGTAAATTCCTCCTTCCCTATGCGAACCTTTACCATCTTAGACTTATCACGTCGACTAGGTAGTATCTGCTGATACACTGGTAGACGGAATAGGATGGAAAGCTTTGAGTTATTACAATGCGT